CTTTAGAACGCAAACAAAGAGCTTCGTCTTACTGGCCATGCAAGCAAACTGCAGCGAGGTCAAAGTCTACGGTTCGTGCTTTCTTGAACTTTCCTCTTCTTCAGTAGAGGAAAGCCTAGGTAAAAAATCTAGCCCTTGAATATTTCAGGCAAGCCGTGAAGCCGACAAAACCGTTAAAAGATGACGTTGAAAATCATCTCAAGCAAGGTATTCAGGCAATAAATAAAGAAAACTGGCGACAAACACATTGTAAACGTTTTACACTTGAATTCGAGAAAAAACATGTGGAGAGAAAGGTTGGTAGGAGAATTTTTGCTGCCTTTTTTGGAAACTTTTTTTTCAGTTTTTGGAAATCAAAGAGTCAGCACTGCTTGCACAAATTTGCTGCTACTTCTTCATTTTTGTTCTAGCATGCTGGATTCTAATCATTGGAAAAATGAGGTTTGGAGCTCTCTTTTTCAATTTTTGAGCATAATTTGAGTCAAATTTTTACAGCAGCTCGACGATGTTTATTAGTATGAGTGTCGTCATCATAGCACTAGTCATTTTGCTCATCTACATTGCACTTAAGGCTTTTTTGGTAAGTGCAGCTAGCTGAAAGTGAAATGAGATGAGCCTCGTTAAGCAGCGAATGAACAGCAGCTGTTTTGTTTTCAGTTGAGAAATGCGAAACGAGGGGCGAAGAAGCTGAAATGTTCAAGGAGCGTTCGAATTTTTTTCATTTTCGCTATTGTACTGCTTGCACATTCCACAATCATCAGTGTGAGTGATGTTTACCTATTCATCATTTTATGGGATACGATCGTGTCGGGAGAAATTACCCGCATCTAAGATTTACGCAAAGAACATTTGTCTCCTGAAAGATATGGCACAATTGTGTTCAGTCGGATTTTAAGGCATGGCAAAGAGGGAATATTTGGAAGCTGGGGAAGAGTAAAGTTGAGGGAGAGAGGTTACTGTCTATTTACTTGAACTTGATTGTGAGTTTGCGGACCACGCACGGCATCCCACGTTTCCTTGATTGGGAACAAGTAATGAAAACGTTTCCATGGAAGAAACTGCTGAGAAGTAATTATCATGCTGTATATATTTACATAAGCTCAAAAAAATTTGAAGCGAAGTTGCCAGAGTTTAACAAACCGTAAGCCAATGATCGTGAAATACCGCGCGTGTTGTGCAGAACACATCTTGGACTATAGATAACACGACTATTCTTGTGAGAATAAATCTCATCCAAGAACAGCA